CAGAGAGTGAGAAGGTTCCCCCTGAGCCTCCTTTTCTCCAGGCTGAGCCCCCCCAGCTCCCTCAGCTGCTCCTCACATGACTGACTCTCCAGACCCTTTCCCAGCTCCATTCCCTTCTCTGGAAGTGTCTTTCTTGCAGTGAGGGGCCCAGAACTGGACACAGGACTTGAGGTGTGGCCTCACTAGTGCTGAGCACAGAGGCAAAAGTTAAGTCCTGAAGTCCTCCATGTGGCACTGTCAGGAAGGCCACATTTTCACTCATCCTCACCTACATTTGAGGTTGTTCTCTTGCACAGGCAAGGGACTCGTGTTGTGCACCCAGTGCAGTGTATCAGTGGCAACCACAGGAAGAGAACACAGAAAACCACATCCTTGAGTTGCTGTGGACCTCGTGCCATCCTGTGTGTCCCCACACAGTGACAGCCACAAATAACCCCCATTCCTGGTGCTGGGCCAAGGCTGCTTCATTAAACAACACTCATCAGGAGGTGCATGCATAGACTGTCAGCCTTATTCTTCTGAGACAGAGGTGGGCTGCAGCCCAGGAAATGTGGCAGTGAGTGGCCTCTGTGCAGAGACAACCTGGGAATGAAATCTTGGGCTGGGAGCTGCAGTGAATATTTTATACCACTCCCTCCCTCCCTTCTCCGTTGGATCTCACCAGCAGTCTCTAGCCAACATAATTCTTTGTGAGTTACTTTCGTTAGCAAAACCTTTCACCCTAGGAAGATGTTCTACTTAATTAGTAAAAGTTCAATTTTTTTGTCACCGACAGGGCCCCATACATCACCATGTCTGGAGAGTCATTAGCTGTAAAATTAATCAGGGTGGATAATGGCTGAATAGAGTCAGAGCCCTTTGTGTTCCTTCCCACATCTCTGCCTCCAACGTGAGAACTTTTTCAAGAAGGGGAATCCAAAAAGCATCTCCAAATATCCAAGAGACCAGTTTCTAGGGTAGCACTGGAGTCAGGGGTGTTCCTGAGCCTGAGGTAGAGGGGGGCAATCAGGGAAAGAATGGGATGGAAAGCCAGAGGCTTGTCAGCTTTGATCCACCTTCGTCAGACCCACCAGGAACTCCAGCTGAGGGACTCTGAAAGGATGTTTGAGGGGTGAGGTTTTCCTTTCACCCACTTGTGGGAACACGTCAAAGGAAATCATTTGTCCCTTCTTCATGGGTAAGTTTGGTGTAAGTTTGGGCTGTGAAAAAAGGCCAAACAGAAGGGTTTGCCACAGACCATGGCTGAGGGCTGTGTGCCATGAGAGGGTGTCCTAAGGAAACCCAGGCCTGCAGGAGAAATTCAGACAAGGAGATGACTGAGTTATACCCCAGCCTGTTCCTGTGGGGCACCAAAGGAGCCCTGACACAGTGCTCTGCCTCCTGGCAGACACTGCTGGGTGTTTCTGGCAGCCCCACTTTATGACCCCTGGTCATTCTTCAGGGTTGGTGTGTGGGAGGGATGAGATCAAAGTGCCTTTGCTCCTGTGCATTGCCCAGGATTGCTGCCAGCAGAGTTTTCTGCAACACATCACAGCTCAGCCTTGGACTCCTTCCCCACTGGATACTTATTTCTGCTCAGGAAATCTCTGCTTTAGGTATTTGCTGCAATTTCCTACAAGCTCACCTATTCCAAGTGGGTGAACAGACACAAGGAGTCCAAATGACCAGCGGCTCAGCATGAATTTGAAAGTCAGCTTCTTGCTTGTTTTTTATCCTTTCACCAGTTTGCTCCCCATTTATGGAGCCTGGGCTTTTCTTCTGGCATCTGGAGCCCCTCTGTAACCCCCTGCAGATCGGGAATGTTGCACCAAGTTGTGCAGAGGACGTTGGACACTTTGCAGGAATCTTGGGATGGGTACATTAGATTAAGATGCTAAGAGAATAATAAAATCCTGTGTTATGGCTGTCTCCTGAGCACAGGACACGTGTCAGTCTCACATCACTTTTTCCTGCTCTATGAACAGGGAGATGCTGGTAGCTAATTCTGATGAAAAACAGTGATATCCTTTGTTTACTTTCTGTTGCTGTTATTATTATTATTATTATTGTTATTGTTATTATTATTATTATTATTAGGAGGAGGAGGAGCAGTAGTAGCAGTCCTTACAATTTGATTGGCAGCAAAGAGAAATAATAAGGGGCAATACAAGTGACCACAAGCAAGTTGATTTTACTTATCATTTTCCATAACTGATCGCAGGATCTCGTTAAAAGTAAACTCCTCGTGCTGCATTTCATTTTGCTACAGAACAAGACCAGACAGGAGGGGAGGAAGGAGATATTTCATTTGAACAAAAATATATCTTCTCACTCTGTAATTTTCCTCCTCAGAAAGCATCTGGGAACGACTTGCCCGGGCTCTGCTCTGCCTGCAGGACTTGCCAACCCTTGGTTGCCTCTGCTGATGTTCATAACACTGTGGCATTCTGGAGTCTTCTTTGACTAACGAGTGGCTCAAGGCCTCCAGCTCTGTCCTCACACTCCTGTCGAGTGCAGTTAAGTGAGTTGTTAACAAATGGGAAGTGATTTCTCTGCCACATCCCCCCCTGGGTTCCAGTCGCACCCAGCCGGAATCACAAACGCCGGGGCTTTGTCCCTAAGAATGAAGCATGTGTGTCTGGGCAAACAATTTTGTCCTTGGTGTCTGATTGATTTATAAAGCTTGTTTTCAGTGTGTTTGTGAAGGGATAAAGTAGGAAAAAAACAGAGCCTCATGACTCAGAACTCCTTGATTCCTTGCAGTGGGACATCCTTCAGGCGAAGTGTCTCTGCAGAGCTGCTCTTGTGCTTCCCTGGGCAAAGCAAGGGGGTAAAACAAATGTTAATATTCACCCAAAGCAATATAGATTATGCATTTCTCTCCCCCCTTAATCATTCCTTCTGAAAACAACAGGAAAGGAGAATTTCTCTTAGGCTCAATTGAAAAGTTTTGTTTTCCATTAAGCATAAAGTTCTTTTTCATCTTTGGGAGTCCTTAAGCTCAAGACAAATACAATTTGGATAACATAAAGCCCTGTTTTCTTCTGAAGAGACTCTTCATTTCTAAAATGCCAAAATGGGATATTATCTTTCTTATTTGCTCTTGTTTCCAGATTAGCTATTTGAGGGAGTCAAAACAAATTTGTGAAAATCTTCCTGCGCCCTGAAATTACTTTTTCAGCAAACAAAAAGTTGACCTCTAACATTATACCCAGCTACAGTTATCAAGATTAGTTTCAGGCTTTTCCCAAGCACGTTTCCTTCTTAAGCTTTTATTAACAAGGACTGAAAAGCTCAGTTTCCAAACAAGGTGGACTTTCAGGCCACAGGAGGGTTTGACAAGGTCTGTGGTGTGCAGGACCCCAATGGGTGGGTTGTGCCATACTGGTAATCTCACATATACAGGCAGAAAGATGCCCCAACCCCATCAAGATCCCATCTGTAAAGCACTTAATAGGTGGACCATTAGCACTTTAAATATTGTGCAGATTGTCCCTGCTGATTTAGACAAAGAATGAAATGGTATTGATTCAGGATTATGGCCAGGTAAAGACACCATCATGCTGTTTGTTTTGTGCTTGATGCTCATTAAATGAACTAATTTATAGATAGGATTAGTGTGATCTATAGGACAGAGGGCAGGAACTGAAAGCAGTACCTGAACTACCTGAACTGCCTAAATGGAGACTGGATCAGGGTTTAGGGGAAGAAAAGAAAAGGAAATATGGGGGAAAGATGGGTGAAATATGGGTGAAAGACAAGATGTAAACTGGCCTGAATTCTAGTGTAGTGAGGAAAGCTCTCTCAAGTTCTGTTCTATCTGAAATTCTGCTGCTTTGCACTGAATTCTCCTGAGCATAAATACACAACTTCTCATTACCAGTTTGGGATCAGATAGACTGGGAGAAGGTTCAGGTACAGAGCTGTAATTTGCTTCCCCTCTGCACCCATAAGTTATCCCCAGTTATCCCCAGAGTGCATGTTTCACTCCTCTGGAACATCAGCTACCACAGATTTCTCCCAGAGGTGCCCTGGTGCCATTTGGCACTTGGGGTAGTCACGAATCTTCTCCCAGATTTAGCAATTAGTTTGATATTTACCTGGGGAGTCGATGAGAACATTTTTTAAATGACTACATCTCAGTGGGGGGAAAAAAAGTGAGTTTTCCATACAATTATACACAAAATGCAGTAAATTGATTTCCAGATTCTCTTCCTTTCTCCCACCCCTTGGCACTCAGCACCACTCTTGTGCCGAGGAAATCTGCTGTAAGTAGATCTTGACATCCTGAGAGACAGTGGTCTCTGAGGGCTCAGAAATCCCCCTGTGCTCCAGGAGACACATTTCCAGTCTCCCTTGTGAGGGCTGTGCTGATCCTGGCTTTCCTTTTCCCATCTCACCTGTTCCATGCTCGGCACAAGGCAGCCTTGATCTCATGAGAGGCATAAGGTGCTGGTATCATACCTGTAAGGAAAGCAAAGGTTCTCCATCCCCCCCTCCTCTTGTCTGAAGCTGAGAGAGGAGTACATTGGTGTCCACAAGAGGCTTGAAAAACAAATCATTTTTGTGTTTGTTAAGCGCTGAACTTCACACAGTACAAAACAGGCAGGCAAACCTGCTCAGCTAATTAAGATCCGGGGAAGGAAGCAAAATGGGGGCTAGTGAAACTTCCCAGGAAGGCTGGAATAACTCACCAGTTATTAAACTCTATTAAGCCAAAGAAATGCCAGCACAGGATGATCTCACAGCCCAGCATCATGCAGATATCACAGAGAGGGGAATCAGGTTTTTCCAAGTGTTTTCCAGCTTCATTGCAGCATCTGCCCCAGGCACAGAGCACCCAGACAATTTGATCCAATTTGTTAGCAAGATACATCAGGCTTCTCCATAGTCTCTTTAGTCTCCCAGGTTCCAGGATGAAAAACCTCTAAGTGCAACTCTAGAGCAAAAATGGCTCCAAGGCACCCAGGTTAGAATGAATGTGCTTTAAAAGCATCTGTTAACTCTGTATTTCTTTTCAGCAACGAAAATTACTTCACACGCTGCCTGCAATTTCCATACACAGGACTTCAGTGCTTTGGTGGATGGAAGGAAGGAAGCCTGGAGCATGCAGAGGGGAAGGTACAGCACAGCACTGTGCATAGCACATTTTGCAGTAATCACTTAATCTGAGTTCTTTTCAGACTCTTCCCTGCAGGGTGATGTCTATGCAAGAGCCTGTTTTTCAAAGCATCACCCGTCCCCTGCTTGTTCACAAAACACAGACCAGGACTCCTTGAAGGATTTGCTTCTGGAGGATTTGCCACAGGAGGCTTTGCCACAGGAGGCTTTGCAAACTCACATTTGCCTGAGAGACTCCTATCCCACCTCTGTTTTTCCAGCTGGCTCTGCCTGCTTGGTAGTGGCTCTTGGGGACCAGGGGAAGCCCTCCTGGCCAGCAGCTCTCCATCACAGGTCAGCCAGTGGAGTGGTACAAAGAGGCACAGAGGAGAACTGGGGTGTTGCTGGTGATGTGGAGCTGTAATCCTTGAGGGGTGAAGGTGGCACATTCAGCCCTAAGGGAGATGTGGGGAAGCAAATCCACCATCCCAAGGTGATCTGCTCCCCCAGCTCTCTCAGGAAGCCTGTCCTTCCACAGGCAAACATTTCACTGGGTATCACCCATCAAGACTCAGTGGGCACTCACCCTTTCCTGCTACAAATATCTTCAATTGTCATTTGTTCCTGATTCCCCACAAAACCACAAAAACTTGGGCTCAAGTGCTCAAGTCCTTTTTTTATCTTTCTTTACTATTGTCACTGTTTTTCCCATTCCTCCTCATCACGCAAACCCAAAAGCAAATAAATAAACTCCAACTTAATTGTATGTGTGCATATGAACAGCACAAAGGAGCCATTAACATAATCAGCAAAAAGCACTAATTCCAACAGTCTTTCCCAGGGCCCTTTGTGGAATGTGATGTTGGAAGACCCTCTGTCAAGCTGCTCAGGAGTGAGGTTGCATCTCTGTCCATCTCTGCTTCCATCCTCCTCCCATCCCTTGAAACCCTTGCATTCCCTGGCCAGTCTCCTACTATGACTCTCCCTGGCATCCCAGGGTTGCTCTTCCCCTCTTCCTGCCTTTCCCTGGGCTCCCTCTGCACCCTCAGATGTGGGATGCCCAGGGTGGAAAGGGCATCTCCTGCCAGTTGGCAGATGGAGGGAGCAGATCTGGGTGTTGCCACTGGAGATGGCAACAGATGTTTCCTGGTGGAGGCTGTGCTGGCTAATTCAGGGCTTTGTGGTTTGAGACAGAATCCCAATTATTTCCAATTAGGAGATTGCAGTGACAGCTGCTCTGAACAGGGTCTTGTCTTGCAGCTGAGGAACCTGTCTGCACATTCAGTTGGGCTTGGATACCTGCACTTCCAGCACAGAGCACTCATCCTGGGTTTTATTATAACCTCTTCTTCTTTCCCCTCTTGTTAAGGTTCCTCTCTCCCAGGAAAAACACCACTTCTCATGAGGAATTTGGCAGTGGAAACACCCTTAGCTCCCCCTCACCAAAATCCATTTCTTTTCTCCTTTCTATATGCAGGATTTAATTTTCCTGTTGTGCTGTCCAGCTCCCCCTCTTCCCAGTTCTCCCATTACTCCTGCCTGCCCTGTGATGTATGGCCCTTGTCAGGCAGTTTTGGCCTGACCCAGGCAGCCAAAATCAGAGGAAAACCTGGTTTTATTTTGCCTGGGGAGAATTCATCACAGAAAGTGTCTCATTTAGGGAAATTAAGGATGAAGGAAAGGGAGAGCTGGAAATTTATTCTGGTTTAGTGTTAAAAACATATCTATCTACTGCTGTGTTAAAGGCTGGTATTTTCTCTCCACTTTCCTTTTGCTCTTGTCCAACCATATCACACAGTCCAGAGGCAGAATTCAGGAGAAAGGGGCACAGAGCCCCTGAAAATGCTGCCTGTGGTAGAGAGTGAACAGGATAAGGAGATGTTGAACAAGAAGACAAGTTTCTCTCCATTCTGTCTCATAACTACTCATCATAGGCAAACCTAATCCTAAAAATACAAACTAGACAAATCCTTTGGAAGGAGAAGGAGGAATCTGCAGTTGCTGGCTTTGGTTAGAATTCAGCTACATCCTTGTTTGTTTGGATACTGAGCCTGTTGAATCACAGCAGGGCTGAGCAAACCCACAGAGAATCCTGAAGTGCACTGTGTGCAGTCCTGGAGAGCCTCTTCCACAGCTGCTGGCTGCCCTCCCCGAGCACAGGCACAGGGATCCTTCCCCATCTCCCTTTTCCACCTCCCTGTCCGAGGTGCAGTGAAAAGTTCATGGTTTCCTCAGGGAGTATTTCCGGAGTGTGTTTTCTCATGTAGGGGAAGGTTTGCATGTGGGCACCAGGAAGCTCTAAAGCAGATTTGGGGCAGCTGAAGGGCAGGTTTGCCATCTGAATTCCTTCCTCTGCTATAGCAAACCCACATCTGGAGGGAGCCTCTGACCTATCTCGAGAACCATTTGTCCTGGGGGGACACTGCCCATGCTGAGAAGGTGATACCAAGGGCAGGCCAGGTCCCACCTTGATCCAGGTGATTTAAACAGCAGTGCTGGGCTGGGGACAAACCCCTGCTGCTGTCAAACCCACTGACACCAACAAGAATTTTGACAGCAGGTTTTGTCACATGGTGTTTTTCTTGATCCCTGCACAGCAGTGGTCTTAATCATGCTTTCCATTTTACCTGGGATCCAAGAGGGAAGATTTTAGTCCAGGAGATTTTTCAGTGTGGTACTGGAATGAGTGTTGTCTATTAATTCATGTGGAGCCCTTAGATGCTGCAGAAGATAAGTGCCTTGTAAATACAGATAAACAGATCAGATTAGACCTTGACAGTGCTTCATGCAAAAGGCATTTTTATGTGCAAAAATAATAACATTGTAGAGAAACAGCTATTATTTGAAACCTTGGGCTAGAGCTCCCATAATTGATATTGTTGGAGGAAAGATGAAGCTAATGGAGAAGAGCTGCTGTGATTGCCCTTTTGTCATTGACTAATTCTTCCAGCAACCAAAGCCACATTACCCAGCTCCCATTTAGACCTCAAAGCAAGTGGTCACATTTTTCAAGAGGGCACAGCTCAGTGAGAGCTGAGTCTTTTCAGAACTCCTCTTGTGAGTGCTACAGTGGCAGGGAGGAGGGAAGGAGAGGGCTTTTGGAAATGTGTTCTCTCTTTTACATCCTGACTGCTTGGAAATCTGGAGCGTGGCCTGGCCCGGAGAACTTTCACTGGCCAGGAACGTGGGCTTATCCATGTCCTCCTCAGCAATTCCAAAGGAAGGAGAGGGATGTGGGATTCCTGTATTATCAGCTCAACAGGGGCTGATCACAGCTGCAGTATAACTGGTTCCTGTTCCAGCCCACTCAGGTACAAGCTCCCAGCACGTGGGAGATTCCCCCACTGATGCAGATTATTGTCTTCCTAAGCTGCACAGCTCTGGTCTACTGCAAAGGCAGACCCTGGATCTCAGTTTATCCCCACAAAAATGAGAGATGGAAAAGCAGAAAATAAACATCTGAGTGATCTAGGAAATCCTGAAACAAACAGCAGTTTTGTTCCTCAAACAAGTTCCAATTAAGTAACAGCATTACTCCCTCAGCACTGCATGTTCCCGTTGCATTAGGTCCAAAACCCAAGTGCTTAAAAGCCAGGGGATAAATAATTAAGAACATCATGCATCTTTCATTGCCTATATAAAGCATATAAAGGGTGAAATCCCGACCCATCCCAACACAATGTCAAAGTTCTTCTTGACTTTAGATGAACTTGGATTTTACCTAAATTGTTTTGTCAAATACAGTGAAATGTATGGCATAAGATACCTCAACAATCTTAATTCTGACCCAGGAGAGATAATTTTCTATCATCATTTCTAGAATTTAAACAGAAAACAAAGGCTGTTTAAAAAAGGTGAAACACACCTACAAAATGAATGTTGATTTGAAGACAAACAATATTATGGAAATCCTCTCTTTTTTTTAATATAAAAATGAGCACATATTCCCCTATTGGAATTGCAGATCAACTCAATAATAATGGCACTTAGAAATACTTCAACTAACTAATCATATTTGCCACTTAAGAATATTCCTTAAAAGAAAATGTTTGTGCACCCAATTCAATCGAATAAAAATTTCACATAAAAGAGGGGGAAAAAATCCTAACAAACAATCCACAGGTTAAGCTTGAAGTTGTTTTGTCAAAATAAAAAGTGCACTTCTTTGTACTCAACTTAAAAACATATATTTATTATGTGGGCAGTATAGGGTTTCAGGAGTCCTTAATCATTCATTTCCCTGTTTTTAAGTGTGAGGGCTTTGCAAATGATGTGATAAGTAAGTACATTGTTGTCACTTAGCAACCTTAACTCGTTTCTGAAGTGAGTTGTTTGTTTCTATTATAGATGAGGCACTCGGATACCATGGTGATGAGCAGCTGAGACCTTGTCTGCTGTGCCAGAGCCCGGCCTGGTAAATGGGATATTCCTTGGAGGGATGAGGTCCTCGCACAGATGAGGAGCTCTTCACTCTTGTCCACAGCACAGAAAAGTGGTCACTGGCGGCGTTTGTGCTGCCTTGTGAGGACCTGAAAGCTGAAGACAAGACTCCTTCTCCTTTCAGGCAGAATACCTGGAATGTTGCCCTTAGCTATGGTCACCTCCCCAAAGTCCAAGACCCTTTCTGTCCGTGGTGGCTTGGCAGCCAGCTCCCAGATGCTTTTGTTGTTATCATCAGCCTGCAGGGAGAAACTTTATTCTTTACTCCACACTCTGAAAACACCACGTTTGCATCTCCAGGCATCCTGTAGAACCACATTGGGCCTCTTCTTGTCCCCTAATTACTCCTTTATGCACTTCTTCTGGTGTATCACAGCTATAAAGCCAGTTTAAGCAGCTGGTGGAAGATTGCTGGCCTCTGGGAAGCCTGCTGTGATAAAGAACCTCCAGTGTGGTCCCTGCACATAGGAACTGATGCCAGGCCTTGAGGTCTGTGCCTGGGGTGGAAAAGGGAAAAAAAGACAAATAGTATGGCTGAGACAGAACTCCCTCCCTCAAATGTGAGCTCCTGCTTTCTGGGAGTAAATTAAAGCAGAAGGGTTAATAACAAATGCCAAAATAGATTTTAGACAACTGCGTTCTGGTCTAAAACTCTATTTAATTGTACAAGGCTTCATTAAATCCCTGGACACAGTTGATCTGCTAGAGCTCACATGATTTTTCCAAGTCTTTTCCCTCACTCCTTCCCTGTATTTCCTGACTTCACACTCAATCTATTTGTATGGCTGTTACAGCTTCTTGAGTTTAAATTAATCTTTTAAAGAAGGCTGAACCACATGAACTTTCTTTTGGTTTTAGAAACCACATCCATATTCATAATCCACTAATCATGTTTGATAAATCAGAATTCATTGTGAAACGCACTAACCCTTCATGTTGCTTCACTTTTTAATCTCGTGGGGAAAGCAATCATCTCTGCAAGGGGGTTGGGCTGGGCTGTCTTGGGTGTCTGCTTGAGTCAGCTTCCCTGTTTGTACCATACAGCTTGTGCTTCTGGATCTAAGCTATCATCTCAAAATGTAATTAAGTCTTCAGCACTTCAGGAGCAAGAGGAATCTTCGCAGTGTGAATCAAACACCATCTTCTCAGTGATGCTGGCCTGAGTCTACCACTCCTCTGGGAGAGCAGCTCAGAGCTTTCTTCTCATTCCAGAGGTGTAACCACACTGCAACCTCGAGATCCCTTTTGCTTCCCAGTCACAGTGGTCAGAATTGCACCTGCAGTCAAAGAACAAACAGAGCTGACTGTTTGTAGGGATCAGTAGGGTCTGTTGTCATTCAGTGGCTTCTTTAACCTGGCTACAGTTTGTGGGTAAGAGTGAGGAGATGGCATTTCTGCCCCTCAGTCATTTGCACAGGAATGTTCACATTCAGATGTTTTCTAACTGTTTGCAAATGGGGTTTTTTTGGCAACATCTACACAAGTGCAAGTTTAGCTACCTCACCTTTTTTTTTTTTTTTATCCCCATTGGTTCATTAATCCTGATCTTTGCTCTAGAGGAGGAGTCTTCACATGAGTCCAGATCGTCTGATCTGTTCTCTCTGCTTCTCCTGCCACCAGCTCCAAGATGGTCCCTTCTTCCCCACAGGCTGAGACAGGAGCCCACAGAGGGGGAAGGACAGAGATAAAGGGAAGTACTCTGGACCACGGGCCACCTCCTGAGGATGGTGTCAAGGTGCTGGCTCCACTCCATACACTGGAGCAACTCTACTTTCCCACACTCCCAAGTTTTGGGCTCCTGTGCTTTCCCAGAGAAATACAGCTGTTATTTGCCCAGGCAGATGCTAAGCCTGCCACACTCAATAATTCATTGGTGAACTTCGGAGCTGCGACCAGGTTGAAAAAAAATAACTTTCTTTAGTAAGTACGAAATCCCCATCCCCGCTGCCTTCGCCTCTCCCTCCCTCCTCCTCTCGGGCAGCCCCTGCGCTCCAACCACTCCCCGCTCTTACACGGAGCGCAAAGGAAAGGCGGGTGGGGAGGGGGAAAACATTCATTTCCTCTCGGTGGGATGTTTATTGCTTTCCCTGCCCTCGGCAGCCCGAGGTCTCTGTCGTTTTCCGTGGTGTTTTACGAAGGGAACGGTTCTGGCAGGCACCGACGAGTTCATCCGCAGAGACCCCCGGAGCCTGGAGATCTGAATTTCCACCTCGCTGACGCCGCTGTAATTGGGGCTCCCGGGAGAGCAAACCCTGACAAGTGACACAAATAAACCCTGCCAGACCCCTCTCAAGACCTGCAGCACGGTAACCCCGGGAGGGCTCCCGTGATCAAATTACCCTTAAACAAATGCTTGTGCGGGAACCGAGGATGGAACTGCTGAAGGTCAGCGAGGTGCAAGTGGGACGTGTTTGCTGGGTTTGGGTTCCCATCACCCCGCTCCAAATCAAAGACCAGGAGTTGCAACACCGGCAAAACGGAACTGGGGGAAGCTACAAAGCTAATTAAACCTCGTTTCTCCAATTGTCTAGGAATACATTTATTTAGGCCTTCCCTACGCCTCTAGCTATTCAGGCATAATTACAGCAGCACTGTTTCCCTGAATATAAATGAATAATATAAAGCACACGCGTTTTCTTTCCTGTGAACTGAAATTTGGCAAGGTCTATGACGTTCTTTTGGAGAGTTGATGAAAACATTTTGAAGATGTCAGCATCTCAGGTTAGGAAAGATTGATAGGCAGATAGATATGGAAATACAGATATATCCATAGATATAGATATATAAAAATGATTTACAGTTTGCTTTCTTTCTCCCACCCTTCTGCAGCAAGCTTTTTAGGGAAATGACTTATTGTATAAATACATGTAATTTCCATGTAGGAGGAAAAATAATTAATACTGATGTAAGTGTCATTTAAACAGCTGGCAGGGAGTGTATTTCAGGTGCTGCACTGCTTTAACCGATGGTTAAAACAAGAAAAGTCCCCATAACTGACTCACAAACTGGTGTAAAAATTCTGTGCTGACCTTGTACAGACCACAAATAGCTCCTTCTGACAAAAATAGTAAGGCAGAAATTACAGATGTAATACAAAAATCATGGGATGAAATTCCCAGACTGGATTATGTAGGAAGTTCAAATTTGAAGACCAAAAGAGTTCATAATTATTGATTAAATTATTATTATATGTTAATTTATTCTGGATTTCCTCCAGAAGAGGCTGCTGGGTTTGAAACATAATCTTACTTATTAGTTAGCACAGAGCTTTGCTGTAAGCCCAAGGCCTGGAAGAGTCTGTAAGTTCCACGAAAGCTTGATGGGACTCAAGAACTTCAGAAAGATTTTCTTAGAAGGAATTAGTCATGGTGTCAAGGGACTCCTTTGTTCCTTGCTGATTGTTTGTCTCTTAGTCATTAACTGAAGTTCACATTCCTGGAAGGAGCCCTGTTGACAGCTCATCTCTTGGGGTTTTGTTGCAGCAGAAGCAAGTCCTGGCCCTGGATCTCCTGTCATTCCATCCTCTCTGTGAGCTGAACTCTTCCACAAGAAGAACAGCTTGTGCCAACAGGTTGGCATTCCCCAGAACAAAAATCCCATTCCAGACTCAGCTCCCTGCAGCTTTTCATATCCCTGTAGTAAAGGACAAAGCCCAGGGAACTTTTCTTGGATGACATCCCAGGGGACGGGAGGAAAATCTCCAGCCCTCATCCAGTCCACGTGTCCCAGTGCAGGGAGTGTCCCAAAGGCACTTCAAGGTCCTGAGGAGTCCAAAGTGTCCCAGGAGGTGCAACCACCCTACCATCAACTCACACATTCCCAACAGGCCCAAGTTTTCCTGCTGTCCCAGTCCCTCAGGGCCCCAGGCCATGCTGTGCTGGTGGTAAAAATCACCATCACAGCATCGGACTTTTGTGTGTTACCCTCAGCTCACAATCACCAGAAGATGATTTAATTGCATGAGAAAATGTTCTCTTTAATCTTTTAGAATTAGTCATCTCTTCCTCAGTCATCTCTCTATATTTTTGGTTAGAGAGACTGAAAATCTTAATATATCAGTGACATTTATAGCACATGTTAATATTATAAAACGTCAGAGCTCTATTTGCAGAAATGAATACTGATGTGATGGGAGTGTTTTATTATGTCAGTGACTTTTATTATAAATATGATAAAACTGTGTCATCCTTTTTTTTTTTTTTTCCAAATAAAAAATAAAACCACCTAATCATTTATCCCAAGGTTACTGCTCTGCTACCTGGTTAATTTATTCAACAGCACTGCAAAAAAAAAAAAAATACAGCCTGCAATGGATTTTCCCATAGTGTGGTCACTTGATGGATGTTGTCATTGACCTGCATGTTTGTTTAGGATTAGAATGTGACAATGAGCACAGAAACAGGGCTCACAGAGCAGCTTCCTGTGGACACAAAGCCAGGAGATGAAACCTAGTTTTAAGGGGATAATTAATCGTTACCAGAGAGTGAAAGGTGGCTTCATATCGTGGCATCTCCACTGCTGAGAGTGCCTCAATCCCACCAGGCCTGTCTGCAGATGATGCTCTTGAGAAGGTTCCCTGCCTGATTCTCCCCTGGCCCTCAGGTTCATTCCCAGACCCACAGAGATCTGGGAGCTCTGGATGGTATCTTGAACGAGCCCATTTTATGGACTATGATACCATCTTACTAATTAATCTTTATTACTTTATTAGCTGGTGTTTGCTGTGGTGAGTAAGCTGAACTGCTCACAATAGGTTGTTGCACTTCCAGCCCCAAAAGGTGGCAAATTCACAAAAAAATAAGAGCTCATTATAGGGATAATGATATTTGATTGAAAATATTAGTAATACTAATAATTCTATACATTTCTGCTCTCTTCTTCTGTTTGAATTTCCTTACTAATTTTTTTTTTTAAAATGGCAGAACCGTAAGGATCTTCTTTACAGGCAATAAAATATCAACATATTTAAAAGAGAGAAGAGGGAAACTTGATTCAATTCATACAAAGTAACATAACTCCAGGGGCTGGGATTTTTCAGAGTGCCAAGAAGTATCAGGAAAGTCCTCCAAAGTTGGGAGCAGCCACTATAATGAACAGGCACATCCTTGGTCCCTGTGTGATGAGGAATCTGTTCCCATGGGGAGCAGCACAGGGAGGATAGAGATGGCAGCACTGAGGTGCTGTTGCTATGGTTAGTGGTGTGTAAGATTTCAGGATTTTATAATTTTTTTTTTAACTTTAAACTTTTCCTCTTCCCCTTCCCCTTCTGTCTCAGTGCAAAGGGAAACCCAAGATTCCAGTCCTCGTAAGGAAGACATCTGGTTTGGGTAGTGATTTGGAGGAGGTCAGGGATGGGCTGCTGTAGCAGATAATAAACCCAGAGGGAAATTTAATAAGTGGCTGTTTTTAATGGTAGGCATCTAAAATGTCTATTGAGACGCCCCTTCTGGTTTTGCAGACCCCTCTGCTGCTGCTGAGACCTGGCAGAATCATTGCACTGTGAGAGGGGATGGCCAGGGGAGTCTGAATGAAAAGCTGAGGAGCCAGAGCAATGGGAGACTCTTCAGATGGCACCAAACCCAACAGCAGCACTGGGCAGGGAGGCTCCCTCAGCTGCCACTTGAATGAAAACCATCCATGAGCTGCCCCTGCCCAAGTGCCCAGTCATGGGATGCTCCGTGGGAAGGGAAACAACTCCACCCGTGCCCAGTGCAGAGACCTCCCAGAGGGGAAGAGGTGAAGTGACCCCCCTTTGGGGCATCACTGGTGGGACACAGTGGGATCTGTCCTGGCTGTGCAGGGCCACCCCTTGCCCACACAGCAGGAGCATTGCTGAAGTCCTGCCTGGGTTGTCAGGCTGCCTCACAGTGTGTTTGGGATGGTTCCCCAAGGACTCCAGCCTGAAGTAGCACGATCACACAGCCAGAGAGGGCTTGTCCCTCCCTCAAGGGAGCCACAGCAGCACTTCAGCTGGAGACAGAACAACAGCTCTTTAAAAGAAAACGCTGCAGCTTCTCTTTTAAATGTTCCACTGGGCTCTTGAGGAGGTTCACAGACGTCTGCAAGGCTCTGAATGCTAAAGGATGCAGTAATGAGCCCTCCTGATTCACAGCACTGCCCAGCCAGCCTTGCAACAGGAGCAAGAGAACTCAAGGTGTCCTGTGGTTGTAAAGTAGGATGTGGGAATCAGCTAATTTCATTGTTTTCTGTACTTTCTTTCCCTGTTCTCAAGCCTTAAGGAGGGAGAAGGGATATAATCCTTCCTCCCCTGGGTTGCAAATGGCTGTGGGTAAACTCAGAGTAAGGGAGTCAGAGCAAGTTATTTACCACTCAATGAAATGCCTTGTTAAAGAGACATAAATCATGGTTTATTCAGATGATTTCCAAAATTAGACCTGCAAGACCTACAATCCCCTTCCACTTCTACTTGCTCTCAAAGAAGCTGCTCCCAGTATCCTACTGGTGTGAATGAATTGTTCTCTCTGTGGACTTTCATAGGGGTCTTGTTACTGGAAATTAAAGTCTACAGAAACAGCCTTCTGTGTAGCAGCCCATTGCACTCAGGAGTTTAAAGACCCATAGGAAATAAGGCTGGAAATAAGGTCTCCTGAGGCATGTGCAGATTTTTAAATCCCCAGTGTCACTTGGGCTGTTGAGATCTGGTCACAGATCTTGTGGAAGGTGTTGGCCTTGGAGCCTGGCTAAAAGTGGTATTGATGAGGGTGGGAGAAGGGAAAAGAATCTATAAATAGTTTTAAAAGATCTTTAGCTATCAATACATTATATATCTGTCTATACCTGCCCAGCTAAGTACCAGAGCCCTCCTTG